GCTGCAGCGGTGTGCGCCGTAACTACACATTACCCCTGGCGGTCGGCGCCGTAATATACGCTAACCGCAGCACAGCTGGCCACTCTACTCCTGCCCAGTATGGTCAGACCAACTAGCATATGATTTTATATGATGAAGCCGTACTTGGGCTACCGCTGTATGGTTTCATCATGACATGTATTTCAATCATTCACTGGGTTATAATTTGTATGTATTTGAATGGATACATTTAATTCTTAATTGATAAAAGACTATGAAAACCGTTTAGTGCTCTTTGGTGTTCTATAGTGCTATGGTGGACACAAGAGCGTAATCTGATTTGGTTCTACAGTACTTTACTTTACTTTAATTTTAATAGTAGCCTGCTGTTAGCAGGTTTGTGCTGTGCTGGGCAAGTGTGTGCAATATCCATGGAAAAATTATGTTGAATCCTCTCACCTTGTGCAAGGATCCTTTAAGTCAATCTCAATTTCTCTTGCAGCAAAGTCCAGGACAAATTAACCACCAAGCTAACAAGACACCCCTTTCTCTATTTAGTTCTGATAACAATTTTGAGTTATTGTTTATTTGTTTCAGGATATCATGACAGAAGAATGCAGAAGGGTTGCTCAGCTATTAACTTCGCCTTATAATCTTTATTTATTTCAATTGTGTTGTAAGAAGTATTTTTTAAACAGTAAAACTTTCTCCAATTTATAGACTACCTATTATGATTCATTGTTGTGTTTTATTAAGGTCCCTACCCTTATCTAAGAAATATTTTATAAACCAAAATGTTTAATGCTGCTCGCCTATTATTCTTGATGAAATATTAAAATACACTCCATTATTGAGCCTAATCATATTGATTTTCACCTTTTAAAAAAGTAAGTAACACAACCAAGACCACCAGTCCTTAAATAAAAGTACTTCATAATTATCCCAGTAAGACATAGGCTAATGGATTTCCAAATTCCTCCCTAGGAGTTTATCTGCATCAGGACAACCAAATTTTAAGATTATTATATTTAAAGAATAGGCTTGCTAATACAAATATTATGTTTATTTATAACTTTTTTTCTTATTATCTGTACATAAAATTGATTAAAATATGTGAATGCGACTATTATTACTGGGGGGGAGGGGGCTCCACAACCATGTTTGCTCCGGGCGCTGCCAACCCTAGGGATACCCCTGATATTTACCTTAGGCCCCATTTATGCTCAAGTTTGGGTTGCAACTAAGGCTTGGTGTGTCGCCCAAAACAAGCGACAAGCAAAATTTAAATTTCATTCTTTAGTACCGAATGTGATGCAATAGTGATGGTCTAAACCAGAAATTTTGAATCTCAAAACCGAAAAAAATCAAATCCCGAATCTCGAATCTCAAAACCTAAACGCGAAACTTTTTTACTTAGCTGGTTACAAAGGTCAAGGTTACAAAAAATACACATAATCATAAAATGTTAAGTATGCAATCAAAACTGAAAGAGATCAATTCCTGACCATGACAAAACATAAATATGTGAATGTGACTGATAATCTTAAATCCCAAAAATATTTTTTTATAAACAACTAACAAAACAAATAATTAAACTTCTAACACCAACATAAACATGAATATTAAATTAATTAGAACATTTAGTGGTCAATATTTGTTTTTGCATTTAGTAAATATTGGAATGTGAAACTGAATTGTACCAGTTATAGTATTTAAGATACCTTTTGAAGTTCAGAATAAAATTTACTTAAAAATAAATTTAAGGCTTAAAAACAATAACAATGGCACAAAAAAATGTCAGTAGTTTCAAAAATAAAACTGCCAAAATCTTCAATTTCGAAACTTTTGAATCTTGAAACTTTGTGATCGAATCTCGAAACCGAAACTTTTCCGAAGTTTTCAGCTGATTAGACATAGGCGACTTACCCAACGGCCCTACGACGTGGTGGGGAAAGCTTCTAGCCAAGGGTCTGTCTCAGTGACCAGTGTGTCTCCAACCATCCTATGCGTGGGGTGAGTTGTGAAGTGGAGTCGTGCAAATCAATTTGTAGTTTGCTGTGTTAGTTGGCAAAAATTTAATTTTCAACAAACCCTAAAGCCTATAATTGCCACGCGTTTGGAATTAAATTAAGTTAGGAAAAACTCGTTTCATCCTCACCAACTTATACATACCGCTCCCAAAATTTCACGTCTTAGTTCAACCAAAATTCAATTTGTCCGCATTTTGGAAAAAAACTCATCCGTATTCTCTCTGATTCCAAGTGTTTTGTGTCTGACAACCTAGTAAGTAAGTAACTATATATTATTTATTGTATTAGTGTTATAATTACCTACTCTTAGTGGGTCGTACAAGCCGTTACATTTTATTTTATGTTTTGTCATTTCCTGTTCTTGAGCACATGTTTTCAGATTCAGATACTAATAAGTACATTTTGTATCCATTTTGATATAATTAATTGGTATTGATACATAGTCAGTGATTTATTTATTAAAATAAATCACATAACGCCTGAGTGCTTCTGCACACAGGCAGGTAAATTGTCAAAATATAATAATAGTATAGAATAAAAGCAACATAATAATAAATATAGTTATAAACATAATAGAATAAATTATTAACAGTATTGAACAGTGTATTGAAAAACAAGTATAAAATAAGTTAGGTTATTAGCAAAGTTTACAAATAAGTTATATCAATGTCTATAAGTTATGTTTACTACAATCAGACTGATAAAAAATCCTCAATTCTGTAACAACAATTGTCTAACAGGTAAGACAGTAAGAGTAACAGGAACTTTTTAAAAGACTAGATAACCCGTTGCTCGAAATCGAGCAAAAACTGAAACTTGCATTAAAAAATAAACAAAAAACATAAACAGGAAGACCTTAATCAAAGAGTCACTCTAAAATAATTTATATGACTGATTATAGAAATATAAAAATATTATGATGTTAAAAATATAAGAGTAATCTACAATATTTACATTTACATTCACTCTCATACTGCTTTGGTTATCTCTTATGTATAGTAGGCGGGTGCACTCTATGAGCACGTATATGTCAACCACGCACTGTAAAGTGAGCTTTTGACCTAATGTAGCTCAATTCCTCTCTTGACGCCAACCATCACTTCAATCAATCAATCAATGTTATTCTAGCATTGTTAAATTATTTCTTTAATGTGTTCTGTTTTAGGCGTGTTTAAATTAGGGGCCCCAACCCAAGTCTCCTGTTGGGAAAGGGAACATAAGAGGGTAAGCAAGTGTAGGGGAAATGAGTTAAATGTGTTAAGGGAAATGAGTTTGATTAAATGTCAACAGAGAGCGCCGCCTTCCAAACTTTAGCCCTTAAGTGTACTTAAGTTGTGCCCTTTCTTAATATTCTGAGACGTTTGCACATCTACGTGAAAATACCTTTAATTTGACACCTCAAACTTTAAAATCCATCAAGCCGTTATTGAGTTATGGCTGTGAAAAGAAAACTGCTTGCGTATTAATATATAGATTCTACCTCTCTCAGTGATAAAGGAAGCTTATTATACAGTTTGAGACCCATATAAAAAGTACTCTTTTCATAAGCAGCAGATTTATGTATGGGTTACTGCAACACAGAGCTCATGGGCCTAAAGCTGTATTGGGAGTTACTTCTTTTTTCTTCATAAATAGAAAAATGTTTTTTGACAAAGATTAAAGTGTTGAATATATACAAAGAGGGCACAGGTAAAATCTTCATTCTTTTAAACAAATTTCTACAAGATGTTCTTGGATTAACTTGTGCAATAACTCTTATAATTCTCTTTTGTATTTTAAATATTTTTTTACTGTCAGTGGCATTTCCCCAGAACTCAATACCATAGCCAATGTTAGAGTCCACAGATGATTATCTGAGTTTTTTCATCTATTAATTTTGAAAGCACTAAAGTAACGTGAAATGCTGCATTAAGCTTAGATTCCAATTGATTTATATGATCAGACCATGTTAGAGTTGAGTCTAATTTTATTCCTAAAAGGTTGCAAGATTGAATTTTACTTAATGTGTCTTCTAACGGGTTATAGTCAATCTGTCTTATTTTATGCTATTAGAATGGAAGTTCACACAATATGTTTCATTTCTGTTAAGTTTAAGATTATTGGCCAGAAACCATTCAGTTATAAGATCAAGATCATTTTTAATTTCAATTTTTAAAATATCAGGGTTTTTATTTTTTAATACTGCAGTAGTATCATCAGCATACATTACCAATTTTGACTTAAGATTTTGTTTCAAGAGGTCATCAACATAAATAAAAAACAACAACGGACCCATTATTGAACCCTGGGGAACACCTTCAGTGACATTTTTGAAGCCTTAATTCAGTTGAACATTTTGTTTTCTACCCCACAAGTACGACTCCACCAAATCATAAGCTTTTTGTCTAATTCCATAAAACTGAAGTTTGTGCAATAAAATATTGTGAATAAAATATTTGCAATGACGATTATAATACAAACATTTTAATAAAATTACGTAAATTTTATCATAAATAATTGAACATTTATTTATTTCTTAGAATAATAATAATATCAAGGCAAATGTTCTGGCGCAGTGATTCAGAAAAGTAGTTTTTTAGATCCATCCTTAAAGTCTTAAGTATTTTCAATTGTAACATCCAGGGTTTGAATACTGAGATTAAAATCGATGAGTTATATTTACTATTTCAATCAATGAAAATCAAACCGATATTTGTTTGTATTTCTGAGCACTGGTTAAATAATCACAATGCATTTATTATGGAAAACTTGTAGCGTCAGCTGATGACGTTGTCATAGCAACGCATTAAGTTAGTCTGATCTTTGTTTTTCTACAGGAATGTACACACAATTTAACTCTTATTAAAATACTTTTCTATTACTTATTTGGTCATAATTTTATTCTATGTACACGAACAACCACGACCAAAATGGTGACCCCGACTACAACCGTTATCTAAAGACTTATTTTCTTTGAAGAGTTTAAATCTTTTGTGTTTCCTCCTTCGAACGATGTCATTAGAAGACCTGCAGACTCAACTCGCCGAACTTAGAACTGCGAATGAAGAACTGCGTCAACGGATTGGACAACCCAGCACTTCTCAAAACATGTCTGTGAACAGAGTAGCCGTCAAACTTCCGCCCTTTTGGCCTGAAAGACCAAGTCTGTGGTTCTGTCAAGTTGACTCGCAATTTCTTATATCTGGAATTACCAACGACGACACCAAGTTTCACTACGTGGTCTCGCAATTGGACACAGGAATTGCTGCTGAAGTCGAAGACATCATAACAAACCCTCCTCAAGGCGACAAATACGGACATCTAAAAAAGAAACTGATTGAACGCCTCTCTGCATCCGAAGAGCAACGTGTGCGGCGGCTGCTGAGTGAAGAGGACCTTGGAGACCGCAAGCCTTCTCAGTTTTTGAGGCATCTTAGGTCTCTTGCGGGCTCGACTCCCCTTCAAGACAACATGCTTCGTCAACTGTGGCTCAGACGACTCCCTCCTCATTCACAAGCCATATTGACTACGCAACTTGAGCTCTCCTTGGACAAACTGGCAGAACTGGCTGATAAGATCATGGAGGTAGCTGACATTCCTTCAACACCTGGTATTTGTGAAGTCTCTTCAGGTAACGCTTCTTTATTAAATGCAATAGAATCCCTCTCTAAACAAGTTCAAGCATTATCAGAAACCAGAGTACGAGATACACAGGTGAGACCTAGGGGTCGTTCCCAGTCTCGTGGTGGATCAGGAAACGAACCTAATCCCTCTAAGAACTGGTGCTGGTACCATAGAAAATTCAAAAACAATGCTACCAAATGTCTTTCTCCGTGCTCTTTTCAGGGAAACCTCAGCAACAATCCGTAGAGGCCGCAACGGATTGTTCAAATGCTGGCGGCCGTCTCTTTGTGATGGACAGAAATTCACGAACTAGGTTCCTTATCGACACCGGGTCTGATGTGTCGTGTTTTCCTAAACGCCTTATCAAATATAAACGTTTTCCTACTAGCTATTCACTAAGTGCTGCCAATAACAGTGAAATAAAGACTTATGGTACCATGCCTCTCACCCTTAATTTAGGCCTTAGACGTAATTTCCCTTGGAGTCTAGTGGTAGCGGATGTTTCAATACCTATATTAGGTTCAGACTTCCTTTCACACTATCACTTATTACCCGATTGCAAAATGAAATGTTTGGTTGACAAGAAAACGGGATTGAATGCCGAGGGAATAGTTTCTAACAACAATCAAACTAGTATTAAAGTTATATCTTTCTCTTCGCCATTGGCAGAAGTTTTTTCTGAATTCCCTGATATTATTCGTCCTCCAGGCTTACCTCGTGCTGTGAAACATAAAACAGTTCATCATATAAATGTTACACCTGGTCCTCCTGTTGTCGACCACGTCGCTTACATCCTCAAAAATTGAAAGCTGCCCGGAAAGAATTTGAGGAGATGGTTAAGCTTGGTTTTGCTCGACCCTCTGAAAGCCCCTGGTCCTCACCTTTGCACATGGTGCCTAAAGGTGAAAATGGATGGCGTCCTTGCGGTGATTACCGCGCTTTAAATGCTCGTACTGTTCCTGACAGATACCCTGTACCACATATTCAGGATTTCTCGTTCAATTTAGCAGGCTGTACGCATTTCTCTGCCATTGATTTGACCAAGGCTTACCACCAAATTCCCGTCCACGAAGATGACATCCAAAAAACAGCAATCACCACTCCATTTGGTTTGTTTGAATTTCCATTCATGACTTTTGGCTTACGCAACGCGGGTCAAACATTTCAAAGATTCATAGATGAAGTTATTCACGGCCTTGATTTTTGTTATGCATATATTGACGACATTTTAGTATTTTCCCAGTCTGAAGAAATACATAAAGAACACCTAAGAATGTTGTTTGAACGACTTTCTGACTATGGAGTAGTTGTAAATCCATCTAAATGTGTAATTGGTGTACCAGAAGTTAAATTTTTAGGTTACTTAGTCTCATCTGCTGGGACACGTCCACCTCAGGAGAGAGTCACTGCTCTACAAGACTACCAGTTACCTCAGACAATGCGTGGTCTTCGCAGATTCTTGGGAATTATGAACTTTTATCGTAGGTTTCTGCCAAAGGCCGCTGAATTTCAAGCACCTCTGCACTCCCTACTTAGTGACGCTGATTCAAAAGGTTCCCTCCCTGTGCCCTGGACTCCAGAGACAGAAGAAGCTTTCCAAGCATGCAAGGCTAGCTTATCATCAGCAACACTATTGTTTCATCCTAAACCTGATGCTCCTCTTGGTCTCTTTACAGACGCCTCTGGAGTAAGTGTAGGTGCTTGCCTCCAACAGTTTGTCGATGACTCTTGGCAACCACTAGGTTTTTTCTCCAAGAAACTATCATCCAAACAGTGCATCTGGCCTGCATACTACAGAGAACTCCTCGCTATTTATGAAGCTGTGCAGCATTTCCGTCATCTCTTGGAAACAACTTCTTTCACTATATTCACAGATCATAAACCACTTATTTATGCCTTTCAACAGCGCCGTGACAAGTTGCCTCCAGCTCAGTTACGCCAACTTTCATTTATCTCTGAGTTTTCGACAGACATAAAGCACATCAGTGGTTCACAAAATATAGTTGCTGATGCTTTGTCACGTGTTGAAGCCATTTCAACTGTTTTAGATCATGAATCCTTAGCCAAGTCACAAGAGTCAGACGAAGAACTTCAAAATCTCATTTCAGAAAGTACTACATCTCTTAGATTGGAGAAAGTTCCGATTCCTGGAACCCATTTGAGCCTTATCTGTGACACCTCAACAGGAACTCCTAGACCCTTTGTGCCATCAGAACTGCGACGTAGAGTTTTCGACCAGTTCCACAAGCTGAGTCATCCTGGAATACGTGCCACAACAAAACTTATCTGCGATCGTTTTGTCTGGCCTTCCATTCGTAAGGATTGCCACAAATGGACTCAATCTTGCCTCTCATGCCAAAGATCTAAGATAACTAGACATGTTTCTACTCCCCTTGGTGATTTTCATACACCTACAGAACGTTTTTCTCATGTCCACATTGACCTAATTGGCCCACTTCCCTTATCAAAATCTTCTAGGTACTGTCTAACTATCATAGATAGATTTACTCGTTGGCCTGAAATTTGTCCTATTGATCAAATAACTGCCGAATCTGTTACTGGAGCGTTTGTCTCTACTTGGATAGCTCGATTTGGATGCCCACAAAAGTTGACATGTGATCGCGGATCCCAGTTCACATCGACTTTGTTTAAAGACCTAGCACGACAGTTGGGCATAAAGCTCCAGTTCACTACCAGCTGGCATCCACAAGCCAACGGTATGATTGAAAGACTCCACCGCCAGTTGAAAGCTGCTATAATGGCTCACAGCAAAGCAGACTGGACCGAAGTACTGCCGTTTGTCCTTCTCGGAATAAGATCTGCCTTCAAGGAGGACATCACTGCTTCATCAGCTGAACTGGTGTACGGAGAACCACTGCGTCTTCCGGGAGAGTTTTTCGTAATACCTTCCCACGAGAGCAACGAGCCACAAGAATTGGTATCAGGGCTGCGTAAGCATATGAATCGACTAAGACCTACACCCGCATCACGCCACATTAAACCAGAGTCGTTTGTGTTCAAGAACCTCAATACTTGTGACTTTGTATTCCTCCGACAAGACAGCTTAAGAAAATCTTTACAGGCTCCATATTCTGGTCCTTTCCTTACAAGGTCATATGCCGTGACGAAAAGACAATTACCATCATTGTAAGAGGCCAAGAAACTAAGGTATCTTTGGACAGGGTCAAGCCAGCCTATATTATTGCAGATGAAAGTCCTATTCCTGAGCCCACGAAACGTTTGGTGCCGACTGGACAAGCAGAGGAATCCTCAAAACTACCACCATCTTGTCAAACTCCATCTACGAATTCTTATACAACTCGTTCTGGAAGACAAATCCGACCACGGGTTACTTTTCAAAATGATGTATAGATTCCTTTTCTCCGTGGGGGGCTGGTGTAGCGTCAGCTGATGACGTTGTCATAGCAACGCATTAAGTTAGTCTGATCTTTGTTTTTCTACAGGTATGTACACACAATTTAACTCTTATTAAAATACTTTTCTATTACTTATTTGGTCATAATTTTATTCTATGTACACGAACAACCACGACCAAAAACTTAGCAAACTACAAGCTTTCTTCTAAATTTATTAGAGAAAATCAAACAAGAGGTGGAGTCTGCATACTGTCTTACAGCACAATTGAAGCCATAGAAAAACATGACATTTGCAAATTTTCCATACAATCTGTTTTGGAGTGTTGTGCAGTTGAAGCCTCACTAGCTAAACCTGTCTTGGTAGTGTGTATATACAGACCACCACACAATGATACAACAACTTTAAAGAAATTCTTTAATATTCTAAATTCTTTGCTTTCTCATATTGTTAAAAAATATTCTAAGTAGGCTACAGTATATTTTTATGTGGAGATTTTAATTTTGATTTGTTCAAAAAAGAACCTCACACAGTGCATTTCAAATCCCTGATGGAATCTTACAGCATGTTTGCTATTATTTTACAACCCACTAGGATTACTAATGTTTCTAAAACCTGTATAGATAACGTGTTTACTAATGTAGCTTTAGACAGTTGTCAAACTTTTGTTGTAGATACTGACATCTCTGACCACACTTATCAGATTTTATCGACTAATATTAATTATAAAGTAAATAAAAAAAAACTGAGACCAAAAAGCGATGTTTTAAGAAAGAAAACATGTTAAAATTCCAAGATTCAATCAGTAATGAAAATTGGGATTCTTTATGCTGCGCTAAAATCTCTGATCCTAACACTGCTTATAAACATTTTCTTGGTATATTCATGTATCATTATGAATTGGCATTTCCCTTGGTAAATACAAAGAGCAAGGAGATAACAACAAAAAGCTGGCTAACAAAAGGCATTATAATAGCAAGTAGGAAAAAGAGAGAACTACATAAGTTGAGAAATTATCAAATGATGTCAACTTTATCCAATATGTTAGATCTTATAAACTAATTTAAAAAAAGGTTGTACAGTGTGCTAAAATGAAGTTTAATAATAAAATAATTAGTTGTGCAGAGAACAAAACTACAGTTGCTTGGTCAATTGTCAAGGAGGAAACTGGTAACAGGAAGCAGGATTTTAATTTTAATTTAAACGAAAACCAGAAATCAAATAAAATAATAAAAGACCCAAAAGTAATTGCAGACCTTTTTAATGATCTTTTCTTGCACACCAGTGAACAGCTTAATCTAATGGGAAATATGGATAAAGTGAATAAATATTTAACTAATGCTGGTACAAATTGTACTGACTTCTTAGATTGTTTTAAATTAACTACCTCAAGTGAGATTAGGTCCATAATTAGTGAATTGAAAAATTCCAGATCTTCAGGATGGGATGGCATTCCCTCTTTTATTTTAAAAATTTGTAAAAGCAGCATTAATGAGCCATTGTCATACATCATCAACATTTCTATTAATTAAGGCATATTTCCAGATTTACTGAAATATAGTATTGTTCGTCCAATCTACAAAAAAGGAGATAAAACACAGCTTGAGAATTTCAGACCAATATCCTTATTGCCAGTTTTCTCCAAGGTTTATGAAAAATTAATCTGTAATAGACTAGTATCATATCTTGAAACCATCAACATTCCTTGTAGTAATCAGTTTGGATTTAAAAGGGGTTGTAACACTTCAGATGCTCTCTTTGAGGTCTTGAATTACATAGCAAGTGCCGTTGATGGATCACAGTATGCCATTGGCATTTTCTGTGATTTGTCAAGGGCATTTGACTGTGTCAATCACAATATTTTATTGCACAAACTTCAGTTTTATGGAATTAGACAAAAAACTTATGATTTGGTGGAGTCGTACTTGTGGGGTAGAAAACAAAAAGTTAATATGTTTTGATCATAGATCAAACATTAAGCCCCTTAGAAGATTTGTCATCCTTGGTTGAAAAGCCGAAGGCAATTTTATTGATATTCTATGCCGACTGTAGAGGTTGTGTTTTTTTTACAATATGTTTCTTGATTGTTATTTCAGTTATTTAAAACCTAATTTGACCAAATAAAACTATCTAATCATAAAAAATAACTGGTCTCCTAGTTATCTAACCAAACCGTAAAGCACAAATCTTAAAATTACCCTAATATAATAGAAACAATATTTCGTTTACACTAGTGATCAGTGTCGACATACATGAACTAGACACGAAAAACAAGCTTCAAAATCAACAATGGGATGATAAGTCTACTTATGTTGCATAGTCTACGGTTTTATCTATGAAAAAATATTTTTACACCGGTATTACACAATATTACAAAATAAATATTATACAATAGTTATCATGCATAGCATAAATAAGCAACACGATCAACATCAAGCTTATGATAATATATTTCAGCTTACGTAATTAAAGTAAAACAGCAGATACAAAAAGTTATTCTATTATTCAACAAATAACCATTTCATATATAGGCTACATCTATTACATATGTCGTCCAGGAGTAGAAAAAAATTGAAATACTTTTGGTTTTGCTACGTTGGCTGCACTTAACGCAACTTCTTATTGCCGAGTAGCGGCTGCTAGTCCATACGATAATTTGAGGACCATTGCACGATAATTTTTTGGTCTACTCAGACTCAGGATCGATCAGCTGTCCCATCCGCTATGACGTAATTCCCGCGCGTTATAAGCTATGCCACGTTTTTAAAATTATAAGCTATAGAACAAACGAGATATTATAAGCTGCAGCACATTTGAGCTATGCCATTATAAGTTATGCCACATTTTAAGAAAACCGTTATAAGCTATGCCTCATTTCTACGATTATAAGCTATGGAACAGTTTAAATTTTCCATTATAAGCTATGCCACATTTTCAAGATTATAAGCTATGCAACAAATTCGCAATTATAAGCTATGACATTATAAGCTATGACATCGTACCATAGATAAAATAATATTCAACGACTTTCATATAGTATAATGTAAAACTCATAAATCTTTGATGGGCTACATGGTGTTTCAACACTGTTTCAAGTTACCCCACATCTGACATCAAAGAGAAAAAAAATTGAAAAAAATGAAAAAAACAAGAATTGGCAGAAAATCTTCTGCTTCATTCTGTGTAGTAATAATTGAGGTTATGTTGTGACCTTGGTTAGTCTGATTAAAATTTTTGATTAAGGCTACAGTTAAGAAGTTTTCAGACCTATAAATTTTGTTCAAACTTTTAATTCCAATTAATGTTATAAATTAGAGTATATACCTATTTTTAAAAGGTCATCTATTAACATAATCTTAATAGTCATCTAATTACGCATTAAATCCTCTATTGTATAGCAATGAATCAGGCAGAGATTATTAATACCAACACAAATGAAAAAACAGTACCAAACCATTTCAAGTTACCCCACCATTTCAAGTAACCCCGTTTTACTACCTAGACATGTTGGAAGAACATATCTTGCCGGAACTGCGCCATCAACGTGTCGAGATACGTAATGACGTATGGTTCCAACAAGATGGGGCAACAGTGCATACAGCTCGCATTAGAATGTAATTCCTTCGGCGAACATTCCCTAAAAGATTTATCCCACGTTTTGGTGGTGTCACTTGGCCGAGCGCTCACCAGGTCTTAAAATTCCAGATTCCTTTCTATGGGGATTTTTTAAATCTAGAGTTTACATAAACAAACCAAAAACAATACAGGAACTTAAAGAAGCTATTCGCCAGGAAATCAACGCCATTCCTAGAGATATGTTAGCAAATTCCGTAGAAAGTTTTAAGGAACGCCTTCAACGCTGTATCAAAGCAGAAGGCGGCCCGTAGAATTATCAATGTTCTCTAACCACCACGTTAGAAATGTAATTTTTAAATGCTAAATTGCAAGTAATTTTATTCTGAAATTGCATATTGTGTACACTGTTTTTCCACTCATAAATAGATTTTTTGCTCTGAATTACCTGAGTACTCGTTATTTGAAAAACATGCGTTTCTCGGTAATCACCCTGTACTTTTAGCTTGGAAGATCAGTGGTTTTAGTGCTCGCCTAGAAAAAATCAAAAGGTCTCGGAGCGATAATGAGAAAAGTTAGTTGCTTTTTGATGGTTCGAAACTAAACTAACTTGGGGCTGTTTATTAATGGTCCTGCTTAGTGAAACAGCTGATTAGTCAACAACAAAGTTACACAATCAAGGCATATCACTCCACTATAAACTCACCATTCACTGGTATTTGGGTTAGCTTACGCACTTAGGTAGTGACCCCATCTCAAATGGTAATATACTGATGATAAAATAATTTCTTTAGAACCATGATGATTTATTCCCTATAGTGCATATAGTCAAACTATATCTAACCTCTATGTGTTTATTATAAAATCTATGGCTTAAAACTCTGTACTATGTTTTCCACCTTTTTTCTGTCGTTGCCGTATGATCCTATGGTGTGGTGATGATGTGATCGAGTTTGTGATTGTGATTGGATTGTGAAGTGAATGTAATGTGTGGTTGTGTTGTGTTTCGTTTGTACGCTGTTGTGTCTGTTTAGATTATGATGTTTTGTTTTTATAAAGTATCATTTGTCTGTTTTAATTCTCAATAATTATTTGTCATATTATAATGTGTGTGATAAATGTAAATATATTTATGTTCCGGAATATTATATTCCACTTTCTATGAGACAATGGTAAGTATTTTCTAGCTCAGTGCATTTATATTTTACTTGGGATGATGGGGTCCCTCATTTGCCCTTGTTTGTTATTGATTGGTTATTATTGTAAATACACTTATTTATTCTTAAACATTATTTTTGCATATTTGTATTATTAGGATACTTGCTCCCAGTTATGTCAACATTTAAAATTTTGCTGGCATTCAACTTACCAATAAATTTACATTCATGTTGGTAGCCTAAATAGACCTGTCATCTGATTTAGGTCAAAACCCCTTAAGTTATATCGACCATAAAAATAGGATAGCCTTTTTTTTATTTTAAATATTTTTCATCTTTACTTTGTGTTAAGAAAGGTTATTATACTTTACCCATGCATGAGCCTACCCAGCTACCGTAGGCTAGGTATTCTTATATTTGGTGAATGGGTCATAAGTTACTAGGCCTAACTTAGGCTATGTTGTTTGTGAGTCAGTGGCTCAGTCGGTAGCGTCACAGACTTTGGGCCCAAGGCAGCGATGTCGTGGGTTCGGATCCTGGTCACTGCCTATAAAATTTATCAGTAAACTTACAGTTCAAGCTAGCCTACGGTAGAACCTCGATAATAGGGCTTAAACAGGCAAGGCGGATATAGGCCAGTTAAGGCTGAACCATTGAGATACCATTTAAATTAGAGGATTTTAGGGTACTTCAGTATTAAACGGAGGCCACATTTTGTCAGCGCGCTGCGGCGGTTATGTTAGGTTGGGTTATCGTAAATATTATGTGTGTAGGACTTTCCTCGCTTCGTTATGAATCGAACGATACTTTCTATTATGATAACCTAACCTAACATAACCGCCGCAGCGCGCTGACAAAATGTGGCCTCCGTTTAATACTGAAGTACCGATTTTAGTTACCATTAGTAGGCCAACAGTCAATGTTTAAATGCAAAAAGGTGACATCTAATAATAACAATAATTTATAGGCCAAAAATAAATAAGCCTAGTTGCAGTCTAGGAGCAATAACCTACGTTTAATTAAAGAATTTGTACTGAGTACTCGTCTGTGAGTTCTGTATTTTGACCCCTAATTTGTCGACACTTGCCAGATTGTATTAGGCCTAGGCAGTGGCGGACTTACCATAAGGAACACTAGGCACATGCCTAGGGGCGCCCCTCAGCATGGTTATTAGCGGCGAAGATGGCTCATGTTAATGTCAGGCGGCTAGCATGGCAATTTTTATAAAAGTAATATAAACTTTAACACTTAAATTTTTTTATAAAAGTAATATTTTTAACTTTCTTTTATTTTTTATAAATGTAATATAGGCCTAGGCCTATATACTTTTATTTTTTATATAATTAAATACGTTAGCTTTGGGGTAACGGGTACATTGAATGTAATTTGAGTGACGACAGCTTCCACCGTTTACGTTTTTTCGAAAGTCTGAGAGACAGAATCTAGTGACAATTCCGAGCTGCCATACCGACTGGACGCTGCCAACCGACCGGGCGGGCAGCACGGGACTCCTGCCATTCTCCACTGGTCTCACGGTCTCCGCCAATGTCGGACTCACAGTTTTGGCTTGCAGACTGTCCTAAATTGCGGATATGCGGCTGTCCTGTCCTGTTCAAGTCCTTGCCGTGCCGCCATAATTTTATTGTGCGCATGCGCATAGCTTTTTAAAAACGGTGTTAATTATAATGTCAGTCATTATAATATCCTGCAAAAGCCATGTTTATACTTGAGTAATTTAACACATCAAGTATAACAGTAGGTAACAAATAACTGCATACATTTGTGGAAACTAATCAGTAAAATTGGGTTTTGAGTACGGTCCTAAAAATAAAATAAATAGGTAAATAAAGGGCCTCTCTATTCCTTTAAAGTTCTAGTTAAATGTTATATTAGGCCTACACAACACAAGGAGGTGACAACACAGTTTATTATAAGTAAAATTATTGTTTGCGGTTTTTAATGCTAAATTTAAAATCAAGAACGGCAATGCATCCGGCAATTAATTTAGGCTATTTATATTCATTCTTGCCTCAACCTCAAAATATGATTTTCTTTTTAAAACCTATAAATACCTACAATTTTAATATACTGGTAATGTAGGCTACTAATTTTGTACTAGGCCTAGGCCTATGTCTTTCTTGGAAAAACACATTAATAAGCAAGCCAACAACGGGTAATAGGCTGTTTTAGTTTATTGTGCCTGATTTATTAGGATAATTACACGTTTAAGTAGGTACTCGCTTTTACAAAAATCAGATATTACTTCTAGGTAGTTTTACAGGTGTAACTTAGTTTTATTTTAATTCTCCCCAAGCTTTGACCGTATGTATACGACGGCAACAACACTATTCAATTGCGAGCGTTGGCCATGTATGTACGCAACTCAATCTGAAAGCTACAAGCATATTCCTACCACGTATAAGATATAGGCCCTACCTCAAAGCCTGTAAACGTCATTTAGGTAGCCTATTTCAATGTTGTTACTTTTCCGTCACCAGTTACTTTAGGCCATTAACTTTAATATTATTGTTGCGATAACTTTTTTTTTCTTGGTAAATTTCTGATTTATGGTGTGTTGGCATCACTGATCTCGTAACATCTGTTGTTTACAAAACCGTTCGGCTGAGTCACGTTATTGCTTTGTTTTAAGTAGGCAGTCTGTTTAAACGTGTTCTTGATTGAAGTAAACCTAGTAAAATAACATCAAGTTAGACCTAGTGGAATATACAGGGTGTTTAAAAAAAAATCTGATTTTGATGGTTTATAATTAGAAAACTAATAATCACATAGACATGAGGTTAATTTTATATTTATAGAGTAACTAATATACCGTAGGCTAGTTATTTGTGTAATTAGCGGGCGAAGTGGCACTTTGCTGCACACGAGAGAAATGTTTAAACTTACGCACAAGCCGTAGCTGCGAGTTTGGTAAGTTTCTTGTGTGCAGCAAAGGCTTGCAATTGTATTACATATTATATTTTTCTTGCAGTTGTATTAACACTGTAGCCTACAACACGTTTTTAAGTTAGGTTAAATCCAAACATTGAACAAAATGGGAAGAAACGCTGCACCAGCTGATCGTAGTCGCAATATCTCGTGTTGCCAACTTATTTTCAAGCGTAAACGGTTTACGTGCATAATAAAAGCATGCTGTTTTGTGTTGTTTGGTTGGAAAACTGGTGTGCGCCAAAGTAAGGCTTTCTGTAGGACTGTAATCTGTGCAAGGAAGCGCACTTTGTCGAGGGACTGTAGGAAACAGTTTTTTACACCATTTACAGCTGATCAATACGGCCCCCTTTAGACGCACAGCATATGTGCAACTTGCAATAAAAATTTGCTTAGGTAGAAAAAAAGTTGTGAAAACAATTGAAAATTTGAAAATATTACTGAGAATACCCTATTATTTTTCTAACGTTTTCTGAACCGTTTAGAATGAGCTAGTGAAATAACGCTGACTATATCACCCTATTAATTACTGTAGGCCTAATAGTAAACGCTTGGTAACAGTTGCTGAGAATCATATTATTTTTGTAAAGTCGTCTGAACTGGTAGGCCGAAGAATTGAAATAACACTGGCCATGTAATTAATTAATGAATAGTATCGATGGGACTACTGGCTGAAACGTCCTGGAAGGGTAAATAATAGGTCACAAAAATTATAGTGTTATTTCACTTATTACCAAAAAACTAAGGAATGTTCCAGACTAGACCTATTACCGTACTGAAAACTAACTATATATCCCATCCCTACCATGGTGGGTTTGTTGCATGTACACTAAGATATTATAGTTTTCATGTTAATTTTTAATCACTGTTCTTGTTCTAGGAATTGGTATTTTCAACGCTTTGAAGAATCTGGTCATATGATTGAGGTAAGAAAAGATAAACTATTACTTAGAGTTGTGGATTTTGGTTAGCCTATAAAATTTAACTCAGGTTTTTAACAATATTTGGCCCTATGTTAAGTGTACAAATCGTATTTATTATTAATTCTTTTCAATAATAAGTTAACAAAATAATAAATTTATTGGGCTATGAATAAATGATGCTATCCAACAAAAAGGTTGACGTTAGATAGTAACAAAACCAGGGTTTGGACAGTTCCCTTTAAAAGCATTAGAAATGCTACTGGTGTAAAGAACACACAAAATGAAAAAATAAAAATAACCTAGGCTTATGCAAAAAATAAAATTTTAGTAATTTAGCCTAAACTTTGAATATTTGCTATTTAGGTTTTTAAAAAAAATTTGTCTGGCCGGTGAAGGTTTTGACCGGTACTATATTACGGCTGATTTAAATTAGGCTACTTAGTCTATATATCGATTAAAAGAATGTACATGGACTATTCCGACTGTCAAACACATCTATTGGTCTACTTATTTAAATTTTTCAAGAAATTTCTTCCCAAAGGAGGATCTTTTTTATCTTGACAGTGAGCTAAAATAAAAATAAAATATATATATGTGCCTTACTTGATACAGCAAACATTGGATCAAACATTCAATTTAATTATCATTATGCAGCAAAAAAAATTGTATTAATATTTTTTTTGTGTGCCTTACAAACGTGAATTATCGTAACTAAATTTGAAAAAAAATAATACTTTCTGTAAATAGACAAAATTTCATGTTTAGTGTAGGCCTTTAGAATACCTGTTCTAGGTAGTGATGATACCTTAAACATTAGCCTATTTCATAAAAATTGATTCCTATCTATCGACTATGTTAGATATCAACAGCTTTTATCTTTTTGTATTCAAACATAACATTTTCAGTTAGCTTGGTGGCAAATTATTCCGTCAGTAAAACATGTGCAAGACATGTGGGTGAGCAGATGTTGATACAAAAAATTATCATCAGATTAAAAAAAAACTTTCTTGTGTTGGTTTGGTGGAACTAAGTTACCAATATTAATAATAGTCAATGTTATTCACTTTTATCTATTGAGTTCAGTTTTTTTGACCTAAACATACAACGTTTTCCTCATTAGACAGTATTTGTTCATTGAAATGAGACATTTTTTATTAGACAAAAAGGTTTATATGAAAGAATAGAATTCATATTTTAGTCACTCGATGTTGTTTGTTCTATTAGATTAAAGGGTCTATGTGAACCATTTTTATAAGTTTTGTTTTGAAGCCATTTAAATGGTAGCCTACAAAAAAAATGTGATTGTCTGTTTCAAAAAAGAATTTTTAAGTATATTGAATAAATAAGTTTAATTTGTTATTGAAAGTCTTTTTTCATATAAAAAAACCGTTGTAAGCTGAAACGGTTTTTCTTAATTACAGTTTCACTGTCTGGTAAATCTAGTCGAAGGGAACTTTTTTTGTTGACTCAAATATTTGAACTGGGAGCTGGATAAGATAGTTGAGTCAGTTGAGCCTTGTTTTAGACGGAAGGCTAATGGTGAAAATGTGTTCTACTGTGTTTCCTGTACGCGAGACATTGCACTTAACTCCGTGTCAGGCGTGACGAGTGGCCTTCAACATTCAGCCTGCTAAACAAAACAAAATCCGTTCAAATGTGAAAATCTTATACCAATATGACATTTTAACAGGCATAATCAGACTTACCATGTTTAAGTGTTCTTATCTCAAAAAATTGTTTATTCAAAAAGTAACTTATCAAATAACTCTCCTACCTCAACTCAAGCTTAAACTTCATTATATCTGTATTTTATTCGGTAAAGAAAATAGTGGTGTAGCTATAAAGGGTTGATTAATATTGGATAAGACCGTTTAAGTTTGATAATAGAAAATTAGAGTGACACACAAATTTGGTTTCATTTTATTTTGTAGTTTTAAGATATCATTGGTGATTATCTAGTCTTGCAAAGTGTTTGAAAAGTTTGAAATTTCCTTTTTATTTTTCATACCATTGCAGATAGATATACAGGGTGATTGATATAAGTGTGCCAGCCGTTTTATTCTAAAACTATAAGAGATTAAAAAAAAAGTTAAATGGTAAGTGCCTTGGATTTTTTATTTAACAAATTTTAGTGAAGTCGGAAAAAATTATTTTAGCCGCCAGTTTTCCAATATGGCCGCCAACTTTGATTTTTCTTATAGAACACCCTGTATGTTATGATCCGGTATTCCGGTAGAAAATGTAATTTTAAGTGGATTTCATTTTTGTGATTTTTTTCATAAACCTAACCGTTTCAAAGATAATACTGTAATGGTTAAAGTTTTGAAATTTCTGCATGAGAAAGGGTTTCGATAAAGGCCTGAGCAAGCATGCCAGCTGTTTTATTCATAAACTATTCGGAATTTCACAATTTAAACCAACGGTTAGGTTTATGAAAAAATCACAAGATAAAATTGTCTTAAAATTACATTTTCTACCGGAATACATCATAAAATATACAGGGTGTTCCATAAGAAAAATCAAAGTTGGTGGCCATATTGGAAAAATGGCGGATAAAATAATTTTTTCGACTTGACTACAATTTTTTAAATAAAAAATCCAAGGCACTTAACTTTTTAATTTAACTTTTTTTGATATCTCTTATAGTTTTCGAATAAAATGGCTGGCACACTTATATCAATCACCCTGTATAAGCTTTGGCTGTGTTGACAATTTTTTTGATGCTATAACGATCACATATATACATTGTGGGGACAGCCTGTGGAGAGTGTAATACAAATCTGAAATATAAGCATGTGTCGAGTGATACTTAATTTTAAACTACTCAGTAAAGTTAAATGCCACAAACACATCTCAAAAGCTTGATTAAAGCAGAAATTATAGCGTAGTATGATAATAAAACACTTTTTATAACTGTTGCTTCTAAGAGTAATTTATTACGAATTCATACATCTAATTCCTTAATTTGAAAATATGTTACTTTTTAATTTAGGAATGTTTCTTTCATTTTAGGTAGCCTAGTTTGGTGGTTTTCACATTTTTATGAGACGCTAACTTTTTTATATAGGGAGTTGTTCAAAGAGGTGGCTATTTTGAAATTAATATATGAGACAAAACTACAGGGTGTAACTACAGTGCATTGCAATTAATGGACATCAGTTTGTAAGATAGGTTATGAAATTAATCAATTTAATTTATTATTTACCATTTAATTGTCTCTTTAATTTTGTTTACTTTTTTTATACAATTTTTTCTTCAAATCAAGAGCCACTATATAATGGTTTTGTAAATAAAATTACTTCAATGAAAATGCACAATTATTTTCTTGTTCTGCCATTTTTCTGATTGGTGTTAATCAAGTTCTACTTACACATAATTTTTTTGTAGCTTGGAATATCAAGTTGGTAGCATTTTTTATGCGTCTGGTATATGCCTACTATATTACTAAAAGTAGCGACCTCTTCTTGGGAAACCTGATATTTTGTTAGTTTGAGTTGAACACCTTTGTTAATGAAATGGTCACCCTTGCTGTTGTAAGTGCCGGAGGAGGGGGAGGTGTCGGAAGGGTGGCAAGTGGCTCTCCTAGTGGAGAGCTGTTGTGACGATGTGCTAAGTGAGCTTCTCTCCGCACATTCTTGTATAAACAAGTAAAAATCTAGTGGTCGAATGAAATATTTACTTTGTTATAGTGAATGAGCTACTCTGTAAAATGTCATATGTTGTGTGATTGTACAATTAAAATCTGTCCTTTTTGTTTAGGGTTAGGCACAAGAAATCTAAGTTGAATTTGGTTAAATTTATTAAGTGAATGTAAACTGTTGAAAATGGTTAAAATGATTGAAGTTAAGATTCAATTTCACCAATTTTTTTAATTCTAAAAAAATATTCAAAGTTATTAACAGTTTTTTTTTATTGAAAAAAACTAGGTAAAGTTTTTATTTTGAATTTTATTCAAGCCAATGTTACCAGTTCTTTACGAAGATAAGTCATTTGGGTCAGGTGCTGATAACTTTACTAGAAACATTGTTGGCATTGATAAAATTCAGATTGAACTATAAACACTGTCAAAATGCTTAAAACTAATTAATTGACAAACAATCGGATAAATACAAGTATATTTGTTATATTAGTTAATTATAAATATTAGTTTTACATGAATACCTAATAAATTGTTAGTAGGCCAAAATAAACATACGCGAAATTGCCATACACAATATTGATTTTGGAAATTTTTAAAACTTCTAAAAGAGTTTTAACTGGATTTTGTAGCAGCCATAGGACTTATATCTGTTAAAACATTGATGTTGGTAAAAGTTCTGAAATGGTTAGAAAGCTTATTAAAATATTCTTACTGTAATGATTTCATATATTCTTGTTTCATCCTTGTCTCTCTAAATATACAAAGCTCATCAGTCTCACTGTTTCCATTTGCTGTAGATTCCCTTTCATCATTAAGTGTTGTTTTATGATGTTGTGCCATATTTCTTTAGAGTCTTCCAACTCTCCTATGCTCAATTTCTGGCTTTAGCTAAGTTATTTTGCTCTTTTTCTTTATCCGCTTTGTAATATGTTGTTTTATACACCCTAAGATTATTGCTCTATGTACTCTGCCTTTATTTAAGATTAAAGTAAGTAAAGTATATACAATGTGGATCATGCTGCTTCCATTCGCTCTGGCCCATAAAATGGCTGCTTAAAAAACCATTGTCTTATTGAGGCATTCCATTATCTCGAATCTTGAATAGTGTAGAGATATTATTGACAACAGAATATTCTCTTTTTATGTAACTAACCACATTATTGTCATTAAGGGTAATGTTATATGTAGTCTGATGTGAGACAGCCACACAGGCTTTTTGCACTCCCCTGAAAAATCTCTAGAAACTCAATATCTACAATCCTTGTAAATTTTCAGCTTTTCTTAATAAGAGCTTACTGAGGAGTTGTCTGTCCCTTTGTCAACTTACCCTAGGAGTCAGTCTTTACTGACTAGCTTTTCACAGTCAGAAAGCAGATGCTCAGTGGTTTCATTTTAAAGACCATGATTTCTGCATAATTAGACTCCCACAAAGGGACATGCACGTGCATGTGCTATCTAGGTTGTTGGTGCCCTACGATAAAATAATCCTCCAATGAGAGGATTTCCGCAGCTGAACTGAGGGAGACTTATTGTGCGTTTACTCATCTTAAGACCTGAGCAAGCCGTCCATCTCTTCTTGCGTGGTGCGCCCACGAGTTTATTGCTTACATTGCTGTTTTTTTGGGAATGCCACAATATGGTTTAAATCCTGTAAAAGTTGCCGAAGACCACTACATTACGTCTTGCAAATCTGATTTTTAAAATTTTGTTTTGATGATGAAAAATTTTGGAGGGAGTGTGTTTTCTGAACTGTTTTGCATGTTGTGACAGGATGATTGAGAGCGTGTCGCGGCGCGCCCTCGGGGGCTCCAGCGGGACGTACAACGTGCGAGCGTCGGAGCTGGCGCGTGACAGACTAAAGACACTCAGCGCGACTGTCGTGTTCCTGGACGACACGCAGCACTGCTTCCAACTAGAGGTAAGATTAGTGCTACAGAGAATGTAACTTAGGGTTTAGGTTTTAAGGATTTAAGTTACGGATAGCAGGCTTGTGTGAATGGAAAATAGTCAACTAATGTTACTCACAGCACTTTAACTCAAGAAATGTCAAGCGTAGGGAAGGGAGATGACTGAATTGAGGTTACTATTGGGTAAAATTCTTTGTGTTTTTGTTTTAAAGAGGACTTTCACATACAAACAAGCTTACCATCCTGACAACAATCCTAATTTAAATCGGCAATAGCAAAAGTGCTTAGGGTGTCAAAATTAAAAATATATAGCTTGATTTTCATCTGCAATCATGACAACCATGGTCATATTAAGTATTTACTTACTTAGTGGAATACTTGAACTCTTCATCTATGACTGGAGTAGGAAAATGAAATCAGTATAATAGGGCCTAATTTTGGATCTAAGAGAAATAATTCTGAATTTTCACAGTTTCATGATATTTAGAGTTAACCATAATTATTCAGGACTATTTTGGGACCCAAGTCTTCCTGATCAATGAAAGTTCAGATTAAATTATCAAAACTTAATATCTCCTGGAGGCATTTGGTACCTCTTACACGTAATACCTTTTACAGAATAGAAGCTAAATTGTCTATTCTGAGTTGAATAAGAATAGTAAACTACTGAAGCATTTTAAACAATGCAAAAAAACGTTGTGGTTTTCAATGGGGCATTTCTAACATAGCTGTTAAATTTTATCAACTGCTGTCAATTGTCTGTTTGGATAAACAAAAAAACATTCATGGAGTCCAGATTAATGCAAGTTTACTATTTCATCCTAAACGTCTTATCTCCTCACTATATACAGGGTGTCACAAAAAAGTGTGATGGGCTATACAGGACCTAATTCTACATGCAAAAATAAGTCAAAAATGAAGAATACAATTTTTTGGATTTCGGCTTTGTTTAGCCGTAATCCGCCATTTTGTTTTTTGGGGAAAATATTTATTATTTCAAAATCCCTTTGAGATATTTTTACGAAACTTGGCAAAATTGTTTACACTATAGTAAGTAACATTTATAAAAAAAATCATTATTTTAACTTTCCAAATTTCAAAATGGCGGCCGTTTGAATTTTTTAATGCCAAATTTCATGAAAACCGGTACATAAATCAAAATTTTGTAAGACACAAAAGTTTTAGTATTTATTATAACAAATCCAACAAAACAAAAATGAATAAAATCGGTTCATAAATAAATAAGCTGTGTTTATTTTAGTAATTTAGACTGAAATTATTAATATTAAAATGTATTAAATGTAATGTAATAATTTATGTAACGTATTAAGTAATTTCAGTCTAAATTACTAAAATAAACACAGCTTCTTTATTTATGAACCGATTTTATTCATTTTTGTTTTGTTGGATTTGTCATACATAATAAATACTAAAACTTTTGTGTCTTTTAAAATTTTGATTTAGGTACCGGTTTTCATGAAATTTGGCATTAAAAAATTCAAACGGCCGCCATTTTGAAATTTGAAAAGTTAAAATAATAATTCTTTTTATAAATGTTACTTACTATAGTGTAAACAATTTTGCCAAGTTTCGTAAAAATATCTCAAAGGGATTTTGAAATAATAAATATTTTCCCCAAAAAACAAAATGGCGGATTACGGCTAAACTAAGCCGAAATCCAAAAAAAATTATTCTTCATTTTTGACTTATTTTTGCATGTAGAATTAGGTCCTGTATAGCCCATCACACTTTTTTGTGACACCCTGTACAACTAAGCTTAATATTAAGTTTATTCCATACAATGTAAAAATCCACTTAAGGCTCTATGTTCTCGAAAGGGTAGAAGTTATTATTGCATGCAATTACCGTAACTAAAAGAATGATTTGTTAATATCTGGCTACGTTCATTTTTTCAGAAAAGAGCCAAGGGGCAAGTCTTGCTGGAGTCAGTCTTTCAACATCTGGAGCTGATAGAGAAAGATTATTTTGGACTGCAATTCTCTGAAACCGGAGTACTTCCTAACCCACCTAATTCTGATCTCATGGTAAATTGAACATGACGGTTTTACCTGGAATGGTACACTTTTGTGTGGAATCTTAGCTTAACTTAGCTGCATTCAATGTCAGGATAATACCTGGATCATCACTATTAGATACATTAATTTATGCTAGATCATCTTATCTTAAAATCTAAATTAGCATATTTTTTTTAAATTTTTAAGACCTAGCAATTGTTGTCTTATTTGTTAATATTTTGCAGCTATTTATTTTTTGTAAAATTTAGCCTGAACAATTTTTTGAAAGGAGAGATAACAAATATGCAGACAAATATAAAGTGAGAATTTTTTTATGTTTTGGGTTCTTTTACTTAAGTATGTGGGTATACCTTAATAACAAGGCCCTCATGGGGATTAAAAATAAAACTAGTTTGCAATATGTGGTTATAAGAGTAGGCCTACCTAAATACAAAATTGAGGGTTCTTTAATTGGATACTTTTTAGTTGGACTATTGAGTGTCTTGTTATCAAGGTTCCACTGTACCGGTACTTCAAATTATTAAGGAAAAAAATAAGCTAGAGTAACTAAGAAATTGAATTTTTGTTTCAGCGCTGGCTAGACCCTGTGAAACCAGTCAAAAAGCAGTTAAGAGGTAAAGGTTTGATACAATAGTTAAAAAAATTAAGAAATGTAAAAAAAAAAATAAAAAACATATATAAGGGAAAATTTTCATAGCTATCTCCTGGGCAAGCTGATAAGCCTGGTTAGTTTTGAGGGTGTGAAGCAGGGTATTGTAATGTAGCACAGTCAATAAGAGCTTTCCCCTGGAGAAATGTGTGGTTTAAGATCAAACACAAGCCTACTGCCTTGGACATAAGCTCTGTAAAGATAGTTTGAGTTTGTCTTTAATATGTTTGTTTTTAATAATTTCTAATTTGATGCTGGTACTCTGTAACAACAGTAATCAGCTAAAAAATATTATTAAGGGGGGCAAGTATGAGTATAGGCTGATATAGTGGTAATGACACAGTGCTTCAGTCTACAAAGTTCCTGGTTCAAATCCTGCCATTCACCAATGGCTCCAGCGGATAATTCCACGACCCTCTAGGCTTAGCCTGAAGTAATGTGTAAACAGTTCCGAGCTAACGCCTAATGTTGGAGGATATGAAGGGTGTACTAAATAATCTTAGCCAATATTTCTAACTTAAAATATCCACACTTTGTCAATAGGCAATGGAAACCTGTATTTCTGCGTCAAGTTCTACGTGTCAGACCCCAGCAAGCTGCAGGAGGAGTACACAAGGTACCACTTCTATCTACAGATACGCAAGGACATTATGACTGGTCGTCTGCTACTACCTCCTAGCACTGCGTGTCTACTGGCCAGCTACACTGTGCAGTGTGAGTATATTGGAGTTAAAATTGGTATTAGTTCTCCAATAGTCCTAACTACCAGATAAATACGATAGAGAGGATTAAAGCTTATGGGACAACCGTGCGCTTTTAGCTCTGGTATTGTGGGGCGGAAATGTACTTTTAACAAGCAAGGAAAAGCCTGAACGGCGATGGCCACATAGCATTTTTGTACAGCAGTTGTAGCGCACAGGGTCTTCCTTAAGCGTGAGCGCTGCAGTACATGATAGCGAGGGGGAAAGGAGAGCAGGAGGAGACGACAAATTGAATTTGCCCTAGACACCAGCAAATGGTGCTAGACACCGATTAAGTGTACCATTGAATGTATCCTCTGTTTCTTACTTCTCCGTTGTTACCACATGTGTCTAGCTGCAGTGACAGTTGTGTAATGTTGAGGTTATGTTGAACAGCTGAGCTGGGAGACTACAATCCCGAGGAGCATGGACCGAGGTATCTGTCTGGTCTACAGCTGGTCCCCAACCAGACTGACGAGATGGAGAAGAAGATTGCTGAGCTCCACAAACTACACAAGTGAGCCATAGATATGCTTCTACGTCATGAATTTTGTCTAGTTTACCCATCTTAAAACCATTACTTACCAAGTTGTTCTTGAAGAAAAAGCTAGTAGCTAAAAAATATTTTTATATGTGCACTTTTATCGATTTTTGTCAATAAGATAAGCCTGTTGTTAATCAAATCAATTACAAAATCCGGGGGTTCGGTACCTCAAAATAAAAAAAAAAATATATTTTTTTTTTATATTTTTATATTATTCTCGGTTTTTTTCTGATTTCAGAAACATATAAATTATAAGGGTTGTTGCCTTATAAACAATAGATAAAATTTTTCGAAAATAATGCAGCACTCAGGTTTTAGCTCTAAAAGTGAGATAAAATATTGCATGTTCATACATAGAGTGTCAATGACTGAACATTACTTATTGATTTTATTTTCCTATGTTGGTCACCATGCTTTTACAGACAGCTTGGCTTGACAATCCTACCAGCTGGACATAGCCTTAGTTTTTATTGTTGTTTGTTTACTTTCTTACCAGTGTTGTGAGTAAAATTTGGTTATGTGAATAAGTTTAGTTCAGTTTGTTGTGTTTTATGTGAAATAGGTTTTAGTGATTTAGGCCTATAGTAACAATGCCGAGATCTACAGTTCCCAAAGTGTTCAAAAAACGTAGGCTAGTTGGGAAACCTAAGTGTCCTGTAGGCAACACAACTGAACATTCCCCTAATCCTAGGCCTAACCCTGAACCCGAACTTAGTAAAGGGGCTTCAAATACTAAAATAACTCCTAATTTAGATAGATATAGTGAGTACCATTCCAATGAGTTCAACCTGATAATAGACACAAGTGTCTTCAAGGAAATGTTTTGCAAGTTTGGAGTCTGTCAGACCTGTGGTAGTAATCTCACAATAAATTTTGAGCGACAGTTCGGCTTAGCCTACGAAATAGTTGTAAGTTGTACAAACTGTGATGACAAAAGCAAATTCTTTTCATCACCTCAAGTACCAGTAGGCCTATCTAATTTAAATAAACCAAAACATTTGTTTGATATTAACATAAGATATGTGTATGGTCTTCGCACCATTGGCAAAGGACCTACTGCCGGCAAAACGTTAGCCGGAGTAATGAATCTTCCTCCTCCGCCGACTAGATTTTCTCCATATGTAGATGTAATTGGAAAAGCTGTTAGTAATGTAGCTAAAACTTCAATGGACAATGCCCTAAAAGAAGCTGTGGAGAAAAATGATGGGAACAGTGACCTAAGCATAGCATTAGATGGGTCTTGGCAAAAACGTGGGCACACGTCCCTCAACGGCGTTGTCACAGCCACTAGCTTTGACACAGGAAAAGTCATAGACGTAGCGGTTAGATCTAAGTTCTGTAGATGTAAGGATAAATATAGTAATAAGCATGAAGAAAAATGCTATGCAAACTACATAGGTGTTAGTGGAGGAATGGAGATAAGTGGGGTGAAAGAAATATTTGAACGATCTCTTGAACGCGATGTGCGATATGAATATTACTTAGGTGACGGCGACTCAAAAGCTTTTCAACAAGTAGCAGACTTACATATATATGGCCAGGACATTGAATTAAAAAAACTAGAGTGCATTGGACATGTGCAAAAAAGAATGGGAAGAAGATTAATGGATTTAAAAAAGAAGAAGACAGCACAGAAGATGGCAGAAAAGAAGAAAGCAGATGAAGAAAAGAAGTCGGCGGAAGGTAAACCAGCAAAGAAAAAGGAAAAGAAGAAAAAGGAAGCTGAATTTAAATTAACTGATGCAGACATTTTAAAGATACAAAAATATTATGGCCTTGCCATCAGACGTAACCCTAACAATTTAGAAGCAATGCGAAGGGATGTTTGGGCGGAATATTTCCACTTACAGAGTAGCAATGAAAAACCGCAGCATGGCCTCTGTCCTGAAAACTCATGGTGCAAGTATAAAAAGTCAGTAGCTTCAGGAACTCCATATGACCACAGTAAACATTTTCATTTGCCAGAACACACTATGTTAGAATTAAAGGACATTTTCAGGGACCTGAGTAATAAGGACCTTCTTCGCAAGTGCTTGCATGGCAAAACCCAGAATCCGAATGAATCGGTAAATAATATTATCTGGAGCCGACTACCCAAAATTAATTTTGTGGCCCTTAACACTCTAGAACTAGGGGTTTTTGATGCAGTGGCATACTTTAATGAAGGGAATATTGCCAAATGTTTTGTTTTAAGAAAGTTAGGAATCGCCCCCGGCACTAATTGCTGCAAAATATTAAAAGACTTGGACATGGTGCGTATCGCGAAAAGTGACCGAGAAGCTCAAGAAATTCAAAAGAAGATCAGACATAGTAAGGAGATTGCCAAAAGAAAGCTTGAAGATGAGTTTGATGTTGAGGATAGCAAAGCAGGACCTTCTTATGCTTCAGGAATGTACTGACTACCATTTACTGTAAGTTTAAACTCGTTTTTCCGAAAGTTTTGTTTTTTTTATATAAAATGTACCTTTTCTCAGAAACTATTAAAGCTAGAGCCCTGAAATTTTAACCACTTATTTATTAGGTGTAACAGATAATTTTAACACATGGGTTTTGTTCTAGTTAGGTTTTAACTGATTTTAGGAATGCCTAATTAGTAAATTTCATGACATTTTTTATGTTTTCCAAAAAAAAAATTTTTTAATACCTAAAAGTTTTTACATTTTAAAATCCCTGTGTTAAATTGTTGCTAAGGTTACCATAAACAACCTACAAAAATTGCATTGTCATAGTTGCTATGGTTTTTGAGAAAAGGTACATTATGTTAACATTGCTAACATAGGGGGTACCGAACCCCCTTACCCCTGGCATAAAACCCTTTTTATCAGAGTAATTTTCTTTAAAAAATGTTTTCTTTTTAGGTTATTTTGCAAGAGAGGTTTGTCACACTATTATATACAGTTGAAGATGATTTTAAGTTTTGTGGTAATGTTTGTTTTAGGGGCCAAACACCAGCTGATGCGGAGTTTAACTTCCTAGATCATGCCAAGCGTCTGGAGATGTATGGAGTTGACCTTCACAAAGCCAGGGTCAGTTGACAAAGTTGTACTTAAACTTAGAAAATATTTCTCTGATTACCCCTAATCCGATCAAACATGTTAGATATGATTTTTAAATTGAGTTAAGTTTGAGTTGTGTGAGCATTGTGATTACATTGTGGAATCAGTTATGACTAGGAATTTGTCAATTCTTGATACACTGATACTTCAACGTTGGTATCAGTATTGAGAATCAATCGCCAAAAGTCCCAACTAGTCTGTGAAGATCACATGATCGTAAAATTAGCTCTTAAAAAACTGGCACTGTTTAAACTGTATAAACACTCTAAATCAGTCTTACCATCATATCACTGATTCAGGCTGATTAAACTGCCATTTTTGTTGGTGCCATTCCACTACTTCCCTTTGAAGAGACCTCCTTGTAGAGGCAAAATATAAAATTAATTGTGTTATTCACTTTTTTGTGTTTTTTAATCCGCCTGGAACTCTTTTCTCTGGTAAGTTCGTTGTGTATCCTTTACTTCTTCCCTGTATTCCTAAGCCAAATGCTTTTTCCCATCAAAAACTGTATGAATCATGAGTGTTTCTCAACTTTGTCCAGGATGTGGGAGGCAAGGAGCTGCAGCTGGGGGTCACATCAATGGGGTTAGTCGTGTTCCAGAACGGAGTCAGGATCAACATCTTCTCCTGGGGGAAAATCGTCAAGATATCCTTCAAGAGGAAACAGTTCTTCATTCAGCTGCGGAGGGAACAGGTATGTTGAAATTAAGCCATGGTAAAATAGATGTCTAACATGATTGGGTTTTGTTGGGCAAATTTAATATCAATCAATGAAATAGTAAAAATTTAATAATCACAACTACTATATAAAAATATTGCTAGTCATCTGGTAATCTTTCAGCACGTTTTTGTATACATTCGTAGTATAGTCATGTACCCATATTTTGTATATTATGGTTGAAACTTTTCTTGTAGTATATCAATGGAAAATTTAGATTGAAATTTAAATCTATGGAATGATGACTATCCAGAGATCGTAAAAAATTAATACAAAAAATTGATTGATTGAGCACAATAAAGAAAATAAATAAAAAATACATTTTTAACAATAAAACCACCACCCAAAAAGGCTTAGTAACGTTTTTAAGCACATACTAAATACATAAAGTTATTCATATTCTATATTTTGCCCACGATTGGGCTTTGTATTCCACTGGTGCCATCCAAAACATGTGGAACTAAACGTAAATTCAGATTTCTCAATTTTGCTACTCCTTCATAACTTATTCCTGGTTATATTTCCGGTAGCCAATAGGGTATAAGTAGTCCCGCCATTAAGATTCTTGTCATTCGCCTATTGGGTCTGACAGATGATGATTGGAGTGTCCAATCGAAATCGATCACCACTTACTATCTGTTTTGTATATTTACCGTCTTGTGAGTAACAGTATAAGCGTAAATATATGTTTTAAGTGTTATAAGACGTTTCTTTTATTTACTTTCCGTAAATTTAATAACACGTACAATGCTGATCAAGAAGTTATTTGGTTATATTTCTCATAGTGTGACGCTTAGCGCCACTATTTTATATAGTGCCACTCAACAAAATCGCCTGCCCTTCCGATCAGCGCGCCCCTTTCGGTCTGTTTATTATAGTCCATATTTTCGCCCCATTCGCAGAAATGTAATTCCAAAATATATGATTACTTCGCTTAACGAGGTAATCATTCCTAGACATGCAACAGTCACCACGTTGAAGGTTTAAATATTAATTTATTCAGGAATCGCCTTATGAGTCCAAATTGGTTCAGTAAGTTAGGGAAAGGAATTGACCTGTTTTATCATCATTTCCATTAACACTATTTAGCACTATTTTAGTTTGGAAGGTTAGCTATAGTTATGTTTTCTAGTTAAATTATAAGTAATCAAAGCTGGCTTGGCCTGCTTCTGGTTTGGGTAAAGATTTCCGCCCTCTGGTTTTTCAACAACGTTTCCAATTAAATTGTCATTTTAAGATGGTAGTAGAGGACAGCACGTTCTTAATTGCAACATGCTAGGGTCCACCAGGCCCTAGCACCCACAACAGCCAATTACCAACACATTTCACTTAATTACAATCAATACATCACATCACCACAGAATTCATAACCAGTTTTCACACAATTATCTCTCCTTAGGGCCACAATAGTCATATTACTGTAGTCATTAAACTCTTCTATGGCATCAATTTCCCTTTCAATCATACTGTACACTTATTGCCCTTCCTCTCCACTCTTTTTCATTGTTAATATTAATACATAACATTATTTCTGTTCAGAGTGAAAACTACGACACGTTGCTGGGGTTCAACGTGGTGACGTATCGCTCGTGCAAGAACTTGTGGAAGTCTTGTGTCGAGCATCACACGTTCTTCCGACTGCACTCTCCGCAGACCTCGCGCGGACGACGCTTCCTCTCACTTGGGTCAAAGTTCTCCTACTCGGGTCGCACTCAGTGTCAGACGTTGGAGGACTCGCGTAGCTCGCAGCGCACGGTCGACCGAACTTTCATACGCAGCCCTACTAAGCGGGTGATACGTCAAACGGTGAGTCAGCTGTTATATTTAGGCCTACACCAAACATTCAGTTTCTGGTTATTTTTTGGTTTTGCCACCAGAGTCACCACTACTCAACCAACCTTGCTTTGTGTAGTTGTGAATTTCTGTTTGTAGTTAAGTTAGGTAGGTATTAAAATTTCAACATGAAAATGGGTTAAAATAGCCAACAGTTATCAAGAAATGTTGTATATGCAGGTGCCACAGCCTGGTGGGTTGAAGGCTAGTGGGGGGCCGTCACTGCGACCTTCGCGACCACACGACCACAAGGTGACCAGTGTGGGTGCCCGGGAACCTCGCCTAGCCTGGGGAGAACAGAACACACACATCTCTGATGAGTAAGTCACCAAATACACCACGAATATAGGGGTCTGGGGGCCAACTTCAGTTTAGGGTGACAAGTTTGGTCAATATCGGTTTGATTGAAAAAAATATTAATTGTGTACTTCAATCGGTTTATAAATAATACTGCACATCTCTCATATCACGGTATGTCATGAATACCTTCCATGGTCACAGTGAAATCCATAACATGTTCTGTAGTCTTGACGTAAACACGATCGTCTCCTGCAGTCACAGTGAAATATAGAATCAATGAAATCTGTGGTCATGATAACATCATGGTTGTCTTTCACGATTGCGGCTTAACTGTTGAACACCCCACGCAATTGTAGCAAAATTGTCATTCTTCAATGGCGCATCAAGGTGAACATTTTTTCCAGCCCAAACGTATCCCTCAGGCCAATTGTTGGCCCATCTGACCTCAAAATATTGATGACCCGCAAATCCCTACATAAATATTGTATAAACCACCTTCTACTTACCCTGTTTTAGGTTTAGAATTTAACATAGGACAGGTGTCCAAGCAACTTTGAAACTATTGTACATGAAATTTGATAATCAGGCTCCCAAATAGTAGTTTTTCTTTGGCAGTCAAAATTTAATGCTTCCTATCTGGTGTGTTATTACAAGCTTCAAGAAAAAGTACAACAGTATCTAGTTTGAACCACTAACTTTTCACCTGACTGATATAAATCGTGTGATTGACTATTAAGCTGACAATTTATCAATAGTTAACTGTAACTTGTGTTTGCAGGGAGGGAGGGTTTCTTGAGAGAGTAGACGAGCCTCATGCAGCGTTCACTCCGGGAATGCCAGCTCGCACCATCACCTACGCAGACGACGAGACTGATAGTGATAGACTGTTTGAAACCCCCTTGTATGGAGAACAACTACCTCCTGTACAGGTATTTTTATTTGCCTTAATACCCGAGTTGGTTTTTGCAGGAAATAATACTTTTGGAATACATAGAGGAAGAAGGAATTAATAACGAACTTGCCCTCAGAGATGAGTTCCAGGAAGTTTACAGCACTTTTAACTAGGGATGTCTAGATTCTAAATCCACTAACACTTGGACATTGGTATCAGTCTCAAGAATCGATCGGCAAAAATCTATTTCTATACCTATACCCAACACGACTGTGAAAATTGTGTGATTGGAAACTCACAAGAAAAGTCAATTCTTAACTATTTTTCCCATCAAGCTATAAATGACTATAAATACTATCTAACTAAAGATCGACTTAAGTAACTTGGCCAGTGTATGGATTGTTCCCGTCCAATAAATATTTTAAATGCCAATATTGTTGATAAACACAAACAAATATCTAACTTGTTTTGGATCACTGACATGTAGACCTACAGCCTTTAAGATATTTTTCCAGACGGAAGAAGGGCTAGTGTCCATCAGGATGAGGCCGGATGAGCAAGGCAGGTTCGGGTTCAATGTGAAGGGTGGAAGTGACCTGAACATGCCTATCCTAGTGTCCAGGGTGGCTCCTAACACGCCAGCGGACACTTGCTACCCCAAACTGAGCGAAGGGGACCAGGTCAGTACAATCATAGACTAACATACAGAAGTAGACTTCTCATTCCATTGTAAATTTTGAAGCTTGTTTTTCAAGTCTAGTTCATGTACGATGACACTGATTGCTAGTGTCAAAATTTTGTTTCTATTATTTTAGGGTTAATTTCATGATTTGTGGTTTACTGTTTGGTCATTAGGGGACGAGTTATTGTTTATGATTATATCGTTTTATTTGGTTAAACAGGGTTTTAAACGACTGAATAAAGAAACAAATTGTAAACAAAACACGACCTTTACAGTGCACCGAACAGAACTAACAATAAAATTGGCTTTAGCACTCTAAGGATGAGAAATCTACTCAGGGAGTATGTTTTATCTATGGTACAAGTAACATAGCCATATCACTCCCATGTTTATGTTATGCCAGTTCGCAATGAGGGTGTAAAGTTAATACTAGAGTCATAAGAAACATAAATTTGAAAAAATAGTTTCAACCCAGTTAATTTGACTTAAATTAAAGTTCTGTGCTTGAACATTTCTGTATCCACAGGTGCTTCTAATCAACGGGGTGGATGTGGGTCACATGCAGCATGACCAGGTAGTGAATCTGATAAGAGCGGCCAGAGACTCCAGGATGGGCGAACTCATACTCACAGTCAGACCTAATGGTAAGTGCAGTATCAGTCAACTAATACTCAAACTTCAAATATATATTGCTTGAGACACTTTACCTTTGTAATCAAAATTTAATTAATCGTCTGCCCTGTTGTTATGGAGCCAAATCTAGCTCTTTGAGTTTGTGCTTCTGCAGAGTTGTGGTGACAAGCTAATCTACTTGGTAATTAAAGCTTGTGGAGGGCAATCTTTTACTATACGACTCATTGAGTTTCTAGTAAAAGACAAATTTGGGACCTGTTTCCATTTTAAATCCCAAGAGTTCCCAACTATCCACACCGATGCAAAAGTCCAATCCCTACGGGAATAAGTTGAAGCACTAGTTGAAGCGTGCTTTGCATTAAGACCAAGCTTGGTCTTAATTTTTTTTGCCACTGTATCTGCTTTTTACCATGAACATCCTAGGCCTACTATTGCAAAATAATTCATGTAGTCATCTATGTCTATGTTCTTAGTTCTTATTATTCTTCTGTTACCGGTACATTATTATTCTTCAGAAGGTTCTTACTACTTGCTTCTTATCTTCTACTACTTCCTTCTGAAACCCCCTTGTAGTGGCGAAATATCAAATTATTTTTGTTGTGAACTACTTTTGTGCTGTGTAACTATTCTTTTCTAGGGTAAGTTGTGATTCCATTCCATCTTCCAGTATGATGTTTCTAAGCTAAGTGCCTTTTCCTCCAATAAACTGATATTTTCATGCCAAGTGTTGTGTGTCCGCAGCTGTGTATGAAGCAGATAACCTGGAGGAGGAGCCGGCATATCAGTATGTGCCAGACACAGACACGCCACACCCCATCACTTTAGGCAGCGACGCCCTCGGACAGTCCATGCTGCTGCTGGCCGACGGACTGGCTAGCGGGGCGCTGCTGCAACAGTTTGACAAACTGTACCGTAAGAAACCTGGCATGTCCACCGCAGACGCCAAGCGTGCCGAGAACCAAGTCAAAAACAGATACAGAGACATATCACCATGTGAGTGGCAGTTGTTGAAGTAGCTGGTTATGTTATTTAAGATATTGTGTACATTTTACATTATGATAAATAAAAACAAAGTTACATTAATGTAACATGGTTGACGTTTTAGGATCTGGAATCTGATCTTGTTCTTGGATAAGAAAGTATCTGAAACCTAACAAAATTAGTAGAAAAAACAGCAAAAGTTGGAAAATCACAGTTACAAAAAAACACAGAGAAGTAAAACCAAGATTAAAACCAAACCCCTCAATAAAACTATAAGGTAATAAACAAAATTAGGAGAATATAATTGACACATCTTCTCAAGATATGTTAGAATGATTTTGATTTTTGTTGTCATCAACATCTCCCAAAATCGCACAGACTTAATCGAGTTGTCTGCCATAGTGACGAAATCGTAACAATCTCCCACGATTGCAGAAACTTCTCCCTGGCGCACAGGCAAAATCGTCACATATCCCTCAGTCCCAGAGACACCCTCATCGTCTCCTGTGATCCCGTTCTGCAATCTTGATACTGCATTTCTGCTTTTTTTACACAGGTCCAATCCTACTAAAAATACCTTTTGCTCTATCCGCAACAATACCGCACTGTCGCCTACTGTTCTGCTTTAGGGATGGAGACATCATTGTCGCAACTCGCAATCACGGCAAAATCTATGACCTTTGAAACAAATTGAGTCCAGAGAAAATTCCAAAATAATTTAAATCCCGTATAAAAGTTTTGGGACCCATCAATGTCCATCCCTTTAGTTAACCAAATGTAAATTATGTGGTAATAAACAGAATTGCCATTAGAGGTGATGAATGTAAAAATTCACTTTGTTCCATAAATTTCATCTTCAGTTTTAGTTATTTTACCCTGTTGGTGTAAGTGT